TACAGTCCCACCAGCAGTGTATGAGAGTCCCAATCTCTCCACAACCTCGCCAGCATTTGTTATTTTCTGTCTTGTTGAACTTTGCTACTAGTACATCAGGCAGTATTTTATTCTGTTGTACATGGGGGATTGCCATGAGTCAGGGGCCAAATACACACCTGTTTTTTGCTGGTCTGTGAGGAAGTTAATACAAAAATTCAAACTTTATACCAATCTGAGAGGATAATTTTTTGTCTTTTGAATCTATGGGGATTATATTGTTGTTATGTGCTGTTGACTCAGACCTGACTTATAGAGACCCCTCCTTGGGTTTCCGAGGTGGTATCACTATGAAAGTAGATTGCTCAACCTTCCTTCTGAGGAGTGGCTGGTGGGTTCAAACCACCAGCTTTCTGGTCGGCAGTCAAGTGCACTACACTACCAGAGCTCCTGTGTATGTATGTATGTACGTATGTATGTATGTATGTATATACACACACCACACACACACACATAAAACTCATTTTTATTGTACTTTTGAAATGTAGCAATCTACAACTTACTAATGGGTGTAAAAAAAAAAAAAACACCTCAGCACAAATAATTTGAGAAGTATTCATTTGGAGGACAAAGTGTAGAATGTGGGCTTACAGGAATGGAGACAAGACAGCCAGGATTTATCCTAAACTCAGGACACAGGAGCACAAGTAGCTCCTGTGATTCACACATGATTGATCCTAGCTCACAGGAAGAGACAACTGAAGGCAATACCTCATGGGTAAAATGCATATACATTTGAGTAGAATGGATATCTCTCATTTGAGAAATAGTGTCAGGAGTTTACTAGTCAAGAATTCCAGAAGTTCAGATCCTAGACACATTTCTTTTCTTTATATTAGCATGAATAGGGACCTAATAAAAATTACTTAACCTCTCAGAGCCTCAGATTTCTCACCTAAAAAGTTCACATAATGCTTCCTTCTTTTTATGATGAAAGTAAACATGCCAATACATTTTAAAAAATTAACTAACTAACTTAATAAACTCCCTGCCACTGAGGCAAATCCAACTCATAGTGACCCTCCCTGGGTTTTTGAGGTGGTAAATCTTTACAGAAGTAGATTGTCCTATCATCCTTCTGTGGAGTGGCTAGTGGGTCTGAACCATCAACCTGGTTTGCAGTCAAATGCCTTAAGCACTGTGCCACATATTTAATGTATTTAAATTACTCACTAAATATTAGTTTTCTGTCCCTATCTTCATGTTAACACATTCACATTGACTGATTATACCATGCTCCTTTAAGAGGGGTTCTATTGCTATTGTTGGTGATTTTATTCTTTTTTTTTTTTTTAACTTCACTGTCATAAATCAAAATTTGGTCACCATATAATTCACAACTCATTCTAATATAGCTTCCACCTCTATCACCATATTAAATATTTCTAACTGTAGTTACCAATGTCAATAAATCTGATTGACAACTTTCTGTTCTCATCTTAACTTGACCTCTAGTAATATCCAGCACAGCTAAACTTAACTACTTCCTTCTGTACATTTGGCTTCAGTGACACCATATTCACAGCTCTAACTGATAATTCTTAGCCTCCTGGACACAGCCTCCCTTTATCCAATCACTAAATGTCTCAAGGCTCAGTCCTGCTCTGGTAGATATTCTATTGTTGCTCTCAGTTCTTCACAAACCACCCCAGCAATGTCTTTCCCTTCAGTTTGACTGAAGGTGACTACTTCACCTGATTTGGTAAAAGGAATTTAGAGGACCTGATGTAAGTGAAAGCTTTAAAAGCCTTGCTCTCTATACTTCTGTGAGGAACATTCCTTAAACAGCTGGAATGAAGAAACATGTGGAACAAGCCTGAACTCCACCAGCTGCCTGACACCAAACCCATCCAATCTCAGCAGAGCTGCAGTCTACTCTTGTAGAGCCACAAATGAAAAAAAATAAATATGTTCAGTTCTAAGCCATTGTGATTTTCAGATTTCTGTTTTATAGTAAAAAATGTCCAATGCTCTCCTTTTCTATACTCTCTCACAGACATATTATCTGAGTTCCAAACACATATCTTGTTGCTCTTTCATATTCCTATTCCTACTTGGATGAGTCAAAATCCCAAATTTAGCATGTTCAAATTGAAACGTGGCTCTTTTCCAAAGTCCTCTTTCATTAAAAGGCACATTGTACATCTAATTCTATATCCAGAAAGTTGTGAACTCCTGTTTGTCTCCCTCCCATATCCAATGCATCAGCTTGTAAGTTTGCCTTATAAATATTTCTCTAATATACTCAACTCTCTCCTGCAATAGCACTACCATACTCCAAGATCATTTTCTCTCATGTGGAATGTTCTTCCTGAATCTACTTTTGTCTCTTTTTAATACATTCAATACTTTACAGCAAAGAAACTTTTCCAAAAAAAATAAACATCACATCAATCCCCAGTGCCACTCTTTCCTACACTCCCTTCAATGACTTCCCAATGCTTTTATAGCCAACAAGGCAACACACAATCTTGCTCTGTCTCCAGGCCCAACTCCTACCACATGACCTCCTACTTCCCGTATTCTAGGAAAATCAGTCTTCTTTGACAATGCCAAGCTTCTCCCTCCTACTGCAGGTTATTTGTACTTGCTGTTATCCCTGCCTGAACACTATCTCCCAAACCAACTTTGGATAGTTCAATGGCCTGTAAGAAAATAGACAATTTCTTTGAATTTGAATAGTTTTAGAAAATTCTGAACATATGATGAATAGGACTATAGGTTAAATGGCACACACAAATTTATTCTGAATACTACAGCCTTAGAAAAAACAGTACAATTAGTTCCTGTTTTGAGTCCTCTTGTTTCCACCTGCAAACTGCATTTCTTCAGAAAACTTTATCATTTCTATGTATTTTTTTTCTCTTTACCATTTTGAGACAGTTTCCCAAAAGAAACTCAGTGCTTTAGAATCATTCTGCTTTGGCTCAAAACTTGACAGAAATTTAAGCAAAATTCAGAAGAGGACGTGGATCAAAGAATACCACTACTGATATCAAAAGGATCTTGGCTAAAAGCAAAGAATACCAGAAGGTGTTTGCCAGTGTTTTATTGACTACAGAAAGGAATTTGACTGTGTGGATCATAGCAAATTATGGATAACATTGCTAAGAATAGGAATTCCAGAACATGTAATTATACTCAAGAAGAACCTGTACACAGAACAAGGGGATATACTGTGTGGTTTAAAACCAGAAATGGTGTGGATGAGAGTTAACAACTTTCATCATACTTATTCAATCTGTATGTGGAGCAAATAATCCCCAAAGCTTGACTATATAAAGAAGAACACAGCATCAGGATTAGAAGAAGACTCATTAATAACCTATGACATGCAGATGACACAACCTTGCTTGCTGAAAAATTGAAGAAGACTTGAAGTACTTACTGATGAAGACTAAAAACTACAACCTTCAGTATGGATTACAACTCAATGTTGAAAAGAAAAAAAAAAAAAAAAAACTCATTGCTTTCGAGTTGATTCTAACTCATAATGACCTCCATTGGGTTTCCAAGTCCAAGGCAGTAAATCTTTATGGCAAGAGACTGCCCCATCTTCCTTACATGTAGTATAGCTGGTGGGTTTGAATTGCAAATCTCCTGGTTAGCAGTCAAATGCCTTAGGGACTGCATGCACCACCATACACCTCAACGTTAAGAAAACAAAAATCCTCACAACTAGAATAATAGGCAGTTATCACGATAAATGGAGAAAACACTGAAGTTGTCAGGGATTTGATTTTACTTGGATCCATAATCAATACCCATGGAAACAGCATTGGGAAAATCTGCTGTAAAAGACTTTGAAGTGTTAAAAAGAGCAAAGATGTCCCTATGAAGTCTAAGGTATGCCTGACCTATTTTCAGTTACCTCATAAGCACGTGAATACCACACAATGAGTAAGGAAGACTAAACAAGAACTGATGCATTTGAATTCTGGTATTGGCCAAGAATATTGAATACACCATAGACTGCTAAAAGAAGAAATCTGTCTTGTAAGAAGTACAGCAAGGGTGTTTCTTAGAAGCAAGGATGGTGAAATTTTATCTCATATACTTTCAACACATTATCAGGAAGGATCAGTCTCTGGAGAAGGAATCATGCTTGGTCAAGTAAAGGGTCAATAAAAAAGAGGAAATCTTTCAATGAAATGGATTGACAGTGGCTGCAACAACGAGCTCATACATAGCAATGTTTGTGAGGATAGCACAGAACCAGGTCGTGGTGTATTCTGTTGTACAGAGGATCACTACGAGTTGGAATGGACTCGAAACCTAACAACAACAAGGAGGAAAGTGGCAAATAGACCAGGTTCAAGTGTCAGAAAGCATCTATGCAAACCTGATTACCTACTGAAGAGTTTATTCTCTAATGCCACGATTCTGTTCTAACATTCAGTAGACGCAAATAAGCTATTATCTCTCCAGAGTCAGATTATAAATAATTCTAACATTTTAGGAGTGCTTTCCAAAATAATAATATTAGCATGAATGGTTAAAGCAGAAAAGTCAGACAGATCTCCCACTCCCTGCTATTGAACTGATTATGGAGACCAGGTCATTTGAAAGTAAATAATTGCTTTTTGCTCCCTGACAAGGAGCAGATGAATGAGCTGTGTTGTTGGGGGAAAGAAGAGTCCCAGAACACCACTCCAGGGTAAAAACAATTCAATATTCCTCTTAATATAGGCATTGCTCTGAGAGTTAATGGAGTAAGGCATTATTCACCTAAATGTGTTCTTGGAAACATTAGCCCACAGTTCAAAAACATGTGACTTTCTGTGAATGTGAGGTTTAAATCATCTGTATCACCAACCTGCAAATATTGTTGACTGAGTCTTCTGGACAATGGTGATGGCACTTACAACGCAGAATCTTTGGACGTGGGGTGGGAGCTGTACTCTCACCATCCTCTTTTTTGGTACCCACACTTAATTTTCTTGAATTTCGCAAAAGCATGTTATCAAGAAAATTTGCTGAAAGGAAGAAAGAAAGAGAAAGAATTTACACATTTGTGGCATAGCCTAACCACAGTCTTGGTTCAAAAAAAAAAAGATTAACTATTAAGTATATATTACTTGTAGTGTATGTCTCATGTAGAATATGGAAATTCTCATAGTCCTTTCAGAATAATATTTTATACATTAAATCATATTACCTTGCTATATAAATGAGTAAAAAATGGCCTGTCTGTATTGGCCCCTAGTTGTTTACTTCACAGCAAGCTAAGGCCCATTAGCCCAAAACCCTGCCAGCACCCAACTCTAATGTATACATATCCAATATGTACACATAGCCCAAATAAGCAGAGTTTTGGCTAGTTAAAGCCTGCTTGATTTAACATACACCACAAAACTGTACTCAACAGCTGATAACTTCACATATGAGAAAACCTGTAGTTAAAAGCACCATAAGGTGCTGCTTGGTACAGGTTCAGCAAAAAAGAGGAAGACAAGATGGACTGACTCAATGAGATGGACTGACACAGTGGCTGCAACAATGGGTTCAAACATAGTAACAACTGTGAGGCTGGGGCAGGACTAGACTCCCCATCTTCCTTCAGGAGGGCATCACAAAGACATACATAAGCTCCCTCACCCCTTCTCCTTTACTCCAGTGTTTCTCATGGTATCTCCTACTTATGATGACTCCCTGCCCCCTTGCTTCGACAAGATCTACTGCTGAAGGGAACTGCCTCTGCACATGACTGTCAATTAATCAGCCTCAAGAAACAGCCTGTTGTGCAATGTTATCTCATCATATCTTTTTCCTTGGTCTGCCCCACATCCCCTCAAACTCACTATATAGCTGTATTGAACTGAATGCAAGGGCTCAAGGTGACACTATTATATAGACTATAATATTATGTATGATAATAATAAGGGTAAACATTATCTTAATTTTTCAGATGAAAAAAAATGAGACTCAAAAAGTGTAAGTAATATACACACAGCTAAATAAACATGGAAACATTATCTGAGGTTGGATTGTTTTAGCCTTGAAATTGTCTTTCTACCATATACTGGGACTTCTCTATTATATTATGTATTCTTTATTATGTTACCTTTTAGAAAGAAATTTTTAGAAATATTTAATCTGCAGAATCTTGTAAGAAAACAAAAATTTAGTTGATATCAAGATATATTTCAAAAAGTATGTTTTCATGCATCAACTTTTACATACACAAATGTCTACCTGTAATACACCTACCATCTTTGATGGAAGACACTGTAGCAGACATGATTTCAATAGACAGGTTTTTTTTTTTTGCTTGATAATTAGGCTTTCCTATTTACCAGGTAGTTGACCTTGGGTAACTTAAATATTCCTACACCTCACTCATTCTGTGGAGAGAAATATCATGGTTGGTAAAGTGGAGTGTCAACGAAAAAGGGGAAGGCCCTCAATGACACTGACTGACACAGTGGCTACAACAAAGGGCTCAGGTATAGCAAGGATTGTGAGGCTGGCACTGGACCAGGCAGCATTTCATTCTGTTATACACAGGGTCACTATGAGTCAGAGCTGACTTGATGGCACCTAACAACAACACTCTTCACTAATCAACAGGCTTAAGTTTCAAAGACCAAGTCGTTTTTTGAAAATCAGCATTATATGAAAATGGAGGATGATCACATAACAAAATGGAGAATGACTATATGACCACATAACTGCCAAATTACATCATCATCACATTACCAAACCACTGAAAGTTATGGCCCAGACAAGTTGTCAAATAACCTTAACCATCACGGCCAGCATTATTCTCACCTAGCACCTCAGGTTTTGTTATTGCCAGACACGATATTAGAGCACAAAATAGTTGAAGAGTAGTTTTACTATTGTAAATGTAAAATGTCAGATAACAATATAGTCAGTAAGTAAGAAATAGGTGTAATTACAGTGTGTCTCATTTTCTTATCCTTAAAATGGAAATTATATTATAGCACCTCAAGAGACGAAGTGTATATATTACATATCGAACTGAACTGAACTCACTGCCATCCAGTCGGATCCGAGTCATAGTGACCCCTATTTGGGTTTCCGAGGTAGTATCACTATGGAAGTAGATTGCCCAACCTTCCTTCTGAGGCGTGGCCAATGAGTTTGAACTGCCAGTTTCTGGTTATCAGTCAAATGCTTTAGGCATTACGCCACCAGAGCTCCCAAATATGTTACATAGTAATACTTAACAAATGTTAGCTAATAATATTGAAAAAAATCTAGTTTTATAACTTTTGAAAAAAAAATAGGTAATGCTTCACTTACATAGCGTAACATATCACTGAAAATAGAATTCATAGTTTCCTTCTTTACCATCAAGTTTGGAAAGCAACTATGTTTGACAAGGGGATATACATTAGTTGATCATGTTTTGGGCACTGTGGTCAGAGCTCTCATTCATACTGTCTCACTGAATAAATTGTCACCTCGAGCAATGTTTAATTTAAAATCTCTCTCATTACACATCTAGTTTGCCTATAATTAGATCAAGTTTCAACAAGAATATTATCTAAAATAAAGATTATTAGGTTAATTGAAATTCTAGGTAAGAAGTACAATGTATGCAATAGTTGTGCAGTGTGTGTTTGTTAGTTTTTCAAAATCACAAATGCCTCTAGTCAATGGTTGCATCACAGAGAGGTATAAAACAAAAGTCTTTGATCATTTTTCCTAATTTTCTTAATGCTTGAGAGATTAAGTCAACTTCTTATGAAGTACTAATAATTGCAGGAAAAACATTTAAATATCTTAAATCAATTTACCAGGATTTCCCTCTATTCACTACTGTTGATGTTGTTGGTGTGTCACTGAGTCAGTTCTGACTCAGTGACACAATATGACAGAGGAGAACTGTCCCACAGAGTTTCCTAGGCTATAATCTATCTGTATGAGAGCAGATTGCCAGATCTTTTCTTCCATGGAGCCATGGGTGAGTCAGATCACTGACCTATCAGTTAGTAGCTAAGTACTTAACCACTGTGTCACCAGGGCTCCTTTATTCACTATTAGCTCTTAGTAAAGCCATACCTCACAGATATTGAAGATTTCACTCCAGATCACTGCAATAAAGCGAATATAGCAATAAAGTGAATCACAACTTTTTAGTTTCCTAGTGCTTATAAAGTTATGTATACACTATGTAGGAGCTCTGGTAGCATAGTTCCTAAGGCACTTGACTGCTCACCAGAAGGCTGGCGGTTCAAACCCACCAGCCACTCCTCAGAAGGAAGGTTGGGCAATCCTACTTCCATAGTGATACTGCCTCGGAAACCCAAGGAGGGGTCGCTATGAGTCGGGCCGACTCAATGGCAAACAACAACAACAACAATGCTGTAATCTATTAAGGGAACAAAAATATTATGAAGAAGTTTGAAATATTGTAAGAACTACCAAATATGACCCAGAGACAAGTAGTGAGCACATACAGTTGGAAAAATTATGCCAGTAAGACTTGCTTGGTGTAGGGTTGTCACAAACCTTCAGTTTGTGAAGAACATGGTATCTGTGAAGCGCAATAAAGCAAAGCACAATGAAACAAGATATGCCTCTATCTCATTGTTGTTGTTGTTGTTATTTGCCATCGAGTCGGCCCCGACTCATAGCGACCCCTCCTTGGGTTTCCGAGGCAGTATCACTACGGAAGTAGGAATGCCCAACCTTCCTTCCTCTATCTCATTAGAGTTCTGAAATTTATTTTAAGATGTACATCTAAATTTCTCAAACAATAACCTGCAAACTTAGTCTAGAAAAGAGATGTCAGTTGTAGTATGCACATGAGGCATATTAGAAGTATATGACCCCCAAGCCCAACCCACCATGGTTCTGATTCTGTAGGCCTCAAGTAAACTAACAAAAGTGCATGTTCAACAAGATCCCATGTGATTCAGAGACAAGTGATGTGTGGACTTCACTTGGGACACTGGACTAGATGAAGCCAATCATACAATCTCAAAAGATGTATAATATTTCTATATGATATGATGTTCATCCTTAAGTTAGATTCTGAAATAAAGTGGAATTAATGCATAGTTCATGTTATCACCTTGCCTTTAAAGTCATCTGGTATAAGTTTGCACACATAAGGGTACAACACTACATTCTATCTAGTTGCAGGGTATGTAGGTAGGC